TTAAAATTTGTTTATATAATAGTATGAATTTCTTTATTTTTTTGTTAAAAATTTCTTGTTCAAAATGGTTTATAATCGAAAAATTCAAAAACAGGCTACGATTACAAAAAAAAAGAAAAGATCTTGGAATGTACGTGAAAAATTGGCTATTCTTACTTATCTGGACAAAAATCCTGAAGCTAGCATTCGCAATACTGCAGCAAAATTTGAAATTCAACCTAATCAAATTCGTGACTGGAAAAAAAAAACGACAACAATTAAATAAAGCTGCTCCATATGTTAGACGATTAAATATTGGATCAAGACCAAAGTTTCCTGAACTTGAAGATAATCTAATTGAATGGATTCGAATGTTACGAAAACAACAAAAAATGGTTTCACGTTCTATGATTCGAAAAAAAGCAAAAGTTTTAGCCAATACAATTGAATTTAAACAAAAGTATTTAAATATCGAAATGTTTCAATTTAGTGATAAATGGCTCTATGGATTTTTGCACCGACACAAACTAAGCAACCGTCATCGTACTACTATCGCACAAAAATTGCCTGAAAATTTGGAATTAGCACAACAAGAATTTTTAAATTTTGTCTCATTTCAACGTATGCATAATAATTATCCTCTTACTCTAATTGGCAATATGGATGAGACGCCACTTTGGTTTGATATGCCGAGTAATACAACCATTGAAGAAACAGGTGCTCGTACAATTAGCATTCAAACTTGTGGTCATGAAAAATCACACTTTACAGTAGTTTTGGCTTGTTTAGCAGATGGTACAAAATTACCACCAATGATTATATTTAAACTAGTCAATATTCCACATCAAGATTTTCCAAAAAATATAATTATTCGAGCTAATCGTGAAGGTTGGATGAATGCTAATGAGATGATTTGGTGGATCGAAAACATTTGGACTCTTCGATCATCTTTAAATAAACCACAATCTTTATTAGTTTTGGATTCTTTTCGAGGTCATCTTACATCTTCAGTTAAACAATGTTTTAATGAACATGAAACTAATATGGCTGTTATTCCCGGAGGATTAACATCCAAAGTACAACCTCTTGATGTTGCTATTAACCGATCTTTTAAATTAAAGGTATATTATTTATTTATTTATTTATTTATTTATTATTCATCGTTATATTAAATAAATTATTATAATATTAAATATTTTTAATTAATAGGTAAAAGAACAATATAACGAGTGGATGGCTGAAGAAATAAAAGAACTTACACCTTCTGGTCGAATTAAACGTCCTCCATATAATCTTATTGCACAATGGGTATTAACTGCATGGGAACAAATTGATTCTAAGCTTATTGAAAAATCATTTAAATGTTGTGGCATTTCAAATTCTCGAAATGGATCTGAAGATAAGTTAATTTTTGATTACGATAGATTAATTTTAACTCAAAATAGAAAAGAAAATAATGATTATATTTTTGAAAATATTGAATATAATAATCAAGAAAAAAAAATTATCGATTTAACTGAAATTAATAATAATGAAAATAATGAAGTAGATAAATATTACGAGAAAGAATCTATAGCTTATAATAATATTTGGAAAATTTAAAATAGTTGGATATTATTATAGATAAAAAATAAGTCGCTGATATAACGTATATATATAATACACCTTAGGTAAATAATTATAATTACGATATAATTAAAAATATTAGCATATAAATATATAATTATCTAGAAAATCAAAAATTGTATTTCGTATTTTTTAAAAATATAGTAAATCTGTATTAACCTTCAAGTAATAAAAAAGACTAAGTATTTACTAACTTGATGAAATAACTAAAGAGTCGCTAAAAAATTATAATAAAGAGTTGTGAATATTGAAACATATCTATAATAAACCAAAATGTGTTTCAGAAGCCCTATATTAAATCAGAAATATTACCATAATATGAATTAAATCGTAAGTTTAACAATCGACTTGCTAGTGTTATATAGTATAATTTGTATATCTTGAAGTATAAATGCGACTTGAATAATTAAGCTTAAATTTAGACTATCTAGATAATAACGATCTAATAATTATAAATAGGAAGAAAATTAGCATATATTTAAAAATAAGGTTATATATTATCATTCTAATAATATATTCTTACTTATACCTTGTTTTTCATGACTTGTGTTAATAAAGAATCCTATAAATCTCTTTAAAACAATAAAAACAAGTATTGGTCATATAACCATACTGCTAAAGAAATTGCAACAGAAAATATTATATTGCCTTGTATTTCCTATAAATAAAAAAACAACGAATTATTACTTTGCTAAATCTAAAAACATAGTATAAAAGTTAAAGTCTTACATCATTTCTAGTGAATGCCTAATATACGACGTGACAATTAGCGATCCCGGATTAACTATCTATAACAATAATTTTAATAAATTCTTTGTAATATTTTAAAATATAATATTATAAATTAAGCTTATATACCTTTATTTTGTCATTATAAGTTTTAATTAGAACGAAAAATTATTTGTATGATAGAAATGTAAAAGACCTGAGTATATTACGATATTGATTATCAAAATCTAATTTATAGATCAGGGTACAAATTTGGGGGGTCTAATATAAGAAAGGGTGGTTTATATGGCAATTTACGGTACTTATTTTAATTTTTTAAAAATAGGTATTACTTCAAATAAGTAATACAAGAAAGTTTGAAAAGATTTATCTTCAAAAGTTTGTTATAAATAAAATGTTGGAAAAAAATTAATAATTATAAAATATCTTGAAAACAATAATAGAAATGTATATAGAACTGTCAAGAGATTTAATATATAATCAAAACAAATATATGATTGAAAAAAAATAAATTACTATTAGCTATTTCATATATTGAAAAGCTTCATTTGAATAAATCAACAAAGTATTTTAATTTAAAAGATAAATTATTTACTTGAATTGATAAAATACAAGCTAATGAAAATATATTTATATATAAAATAGTTACAAAAAAAACTATAAATTTGTCACAAAACATTGAATTTCAATTATATTATTCTAATATTATTTGATTCAAGTTTTTTTTTTTTTTTATAAATCGCAAGTAGGCATTAAATGCAAGACATTTATTAAACAAAAGTTTATCGTCATTACATTAACAATCTTTAAGATACATGGAAATTAAGTTAATTGTAACCTATTGCAACTTTTCAATTAGTACGTAATGATACCAAGTAGATGTTTGCATACTAAAGGTATTAAATGGCTAATGCCTATTCAAAATGATGATACTATAGCTGGTGTAAAGATTATTTTGTCAGTAAGGTTGTTTAAATTTTTTAATGTGTTAAGTACTTTCTGAAAAGTGTTTATATTTGGAGAGTTAGTATTAGAAATTGTAGTCACAGTGGTGGTTTTTCTCCACTTGATTCCTGAGGTTGTTAAAGTAGTGGCAGTTACTGATTGCTGTTTCCAAATTTTGTTCAGAATTTTGAGGGAATGATTTGAAATTTCTTCTTTTTTCCAAATGATATTGAAAGGGTTGTTGAATTTTCCGAGGACTAAGTTAAATAAAATTTTGCCTGTTGTGTTGATTGTTTGGAGAAGGTATGCCTCCCTTGAATTGAGTTTCTCTTTGGAGATATTGAGAGTGATGAGGGCCTCGAGTTTGTCTCTTTTTTTCCTTAGTATGGGGAGATCATAGTGACATGAAAATATATGGTCTAAAATTTCTGGATATGCCTCACACCAGGGGCACAGATTATTCTTGTAGAGAAGAGGGTATCTTTTGTGAAGTTTGTCTTGGGTAGGAAGTTGATTTGCTATGATTTTGGTTTTGAAGGTTGCTAGTAATCAAAATTTTAGTTTATCTGTTTCTGACAGTTTTTTGTTAGATTTGATAATGATATCCATTTTGGAGAAGCTTCTAAGTTTGTTTATAGCAGATTCACTTAGAAGAATATTGAAGAGGTTGGTGTAGTAGTTTATAAATTTGATCCATCGTGTGATACTGGTTGCAAGGTTGGTGTTAATTAGTGGAGATATGCTATGGACAGTTAGAAGTACAAGGGGAATAGATGTCAGTATGCCTTGAGGAATTGTTGAGGAGAATTCTTTTTTGTCAAAGGCCCAGGTTAGAGTAATCTGTTTGCTTTTGAGTTGTGTATTGATAATTTGAATGAGGTTGCTGTGAGGGTATTTTACTTGTCGGTTAGTGTATTCAGGTAGTTCTGTACTGAGTCTGTATATGGAAAAGCAGGTGATTGTAGATAGCTAAGAAGCATTTAAACAAAGTGAGATAAGAATTGACCAGAATAGAGGAAGGGGATTAGGATTCAAATTGTATGTGAGGACTGCCTAAGAATTATGTGTGGTAATTGTGGTATTGTTTAGAAAGTATATTGTATAATGGGTTGGTGCTGGAAGTAAAGACTGGTAGGGTATAGTTATAGTTGGAATGTGAGGGGGTCCGGGGGTGATGCTATTAGTAAGTTCTTGCAGATTGTTAAGAATGTAGTGGTAACCATTTCTTTTTGTTGACCATATGGATTTGAGATTGTTAATATTGCAGGTTTTGAAGCAAAGCTGTGTGTTGCAATTACATGCCTCTAACCGTTTGGCATTGTTGACTGTGTAATGAGGACCTGTAATAGTTTGGCGTGCGATAGCATTGCATTTGACCTTGATGAAA